GCCGCTGGTACCTTTTTCATAGGCTTTTTTGAGTTTGGGCAAGGACACAGGGGCCCCATGATCCTTTATTGCCCGGGGGTCCCATGAGTTGTCAGTCCACCCCTGGCTGGATACCAATTTTTTTATAGCATTTACCACTAATTTTAAATCAGATTCCAAAGGTGATCAGGACACTCAAAACCTTCTAAATAGGCTGTTGGAAGTAATTGGCGGAAGCTTGATATTTGGAAGACAAAGCTTCAGCAATTTGATTTTCCTTCCCTGGTATTTGGCTTTAATCCAAAAACTAAGCTTTGAAAATAAGAAGACTAAATATCTGAGTAGTTTAACCACAAAAATGGACCTGCATACATCACTCCTTTATTATCTGTCTGTTATAATATCCTTTTGTTGTAAAATTGCTCTCCCCATAATTCCAATGCTACTATTAAAGAAAATAGTTCTAGCAAAACTCTGTTTTTTGTTGCTTTCAATTGAATCCATTTTGAAGGCCATTCACAACAATAATGTGTTTTCCATATTGCAGAAAAACCACAAGAGCCAGCCGCACCAGTAAATAATTCAAAATCAGATGGAAAAATAAATTCATCTTGAAAAAATGATCGACCATTGTATGTGGCAAAATATTTTAACCAATCTACCAAATCCTCTTTTAACTTGTAAGTTAATCTAACATGAGAAAACAGAGATTTTAAGCATGAAATTTCCCACTGGCATTATTCTGGATGCAAATTCTAATAAACCAAGCAGTGACTGAATTACTTTTAATAATACTTTTTTCCATATTAAAAAAAGAGCTATCATTGATGTCAATTTTTCTATTTTATCCATCGGCAATTGGAATAGTATTTCCGTATCTATTAGTATTCCTAGAAATTCCAGTTTTGTGGTTGGAGAGATTGTTTTTTTTTATTAGCCAATGCCATGCCAAAATGCTGTATTATTTTAGTAAACAATCGCAACATACAAAAACACATTGGGGGAGATTTACTAAAACTGGAGCACTTGGAATCTGGTGCAGCTGTACAAGGTAGCTAATCAGCTTCTAACCTCAGCTTGTTCAATTAAGCTTTGATAATAAAACCTGGAAGCTGATTGGTTTCTATGCAGAGATGCACCAGATTTTGCACTCTCCAATTTGAACAAATAGCCACCAATGGCGAATCTGCAGGACCTATGAACATGAAGTCATCAAGATAATGTATTATACCATCCAGGCCTGCTTTTATTTCAACAACCCATTGTAAAAAAGTCACATTTTTTTAAAAATATGCACAAGAAAGTGAAAAACCCATAGGCAGGCTTTTATCATAGTAAAATTGACCTTCAAAATGGATACCCAATTAAATGAAGCTGTATTAATAGGCAATAACCTAAATGCTGCCTTTATGTCAGCTTTGGCCAGCAACAATCCTTTTCCAAATTTTTTTTATTTCACAAATGGCTTCCGCAAACATGCAATATGACACTAAAGCTAATCTTTCATCAATTTCATCATTTAAAGACGAGCCTTTGGGAAATGACAGATGATGTATAAGGTAATAAGTATTCAGCTCTTTTTTCAGAATAATACCAAGAGGAAAGATTCTAAAATGTATAAAAGACAGATTAAGAAAAGGACCCTCTTTAATTTCTACTTTTAATTTTTCTCTAACAATATGGGGAAAGAATTTAAGTTATCTACAATATTGCAACCATAACCTGAAAATATTGGTAAAGGAAAACCATTCATAAAACCTTCTGTTAAAAAAAATCAGCTGTCTCCTTTTTTGGATACATTTCCAACCACTGATGCATGTTTCCTAGTTTCACTTGTGTGTTGGCATTTTGATAAATTACCTTTGTCCTTGAAAATCAATGTTTCTTTTGAAACAAATAAGTAATGGATGTGGTCCTAAACAATGTAAACATTCATGTTTGTACCTACATGACCCTGCCCACTTGCATTGATTTTCATTGGTATCCTCTTTTAACAGGGGAAGTTGCAGCAGAGGATTGAGGCTTTTGAAATGACGTTTTTTGTGGTAAAATTAAATTTAGCCACAAACCAACATCCTTCATTCCCCATTTCTAAGAAGGATAAATAGACAGCTTTTGTCAGAACCTTACCTTGCTACTTGTCTACTTCTGTCATCATCAATTTTTTTCATTTGATTTTTTATCCATTTTGACTGTAAATTCTTTTGCTGAAGGTAACAATGACAAAATGTCAACAAATTCTCCTTTCCATATTTTATCTTTCAGTTGTGATGACAAATGATATCCCAGAGGTGATATTTCAAATGGTAGAACCTATTTTAAAAAAGTTTAGGGCAATGAATTATTGACATTAATTCTTGTATGTAATTTATTTTTGTGCCTACCAGCAGCATTTGTGTCATTAAATAAACTATCTTTCGAATTAGTATTACCTTCAATAGTAGCCCAAACATTTGAATAACCATTGTTCATTAAATTGCTACTGCTCACATTTTGGTTTAAATTACTGGTTAATTTGGCAATTGAATCTAATACAGAACACTAAATAATAAGCTGTTAAACCCACCACCTCCACTAAATGTCCCTGCCTCATTGCTGTGAACCGAAGGAGCCCTGTGCTGTTGTCTGCTGCCACCACTAGGTAAAGAAAGAATGACTGGCACAGGCTTGGGTGGCTCATTGATATCCGGCACTGCCCGTCTCTAGCCATATTGAGGTTGTTGCTCAGCAAAGCAAACAACTTTGGAGGTCGCCGTCTCCCTTTCCACTTCAGGTGAAGCTGCTCGTCTGCTCTGCCTACTTCCTCTTCCGGGCAGCAATGGAGAAAGCGCCCGCCTCTTTTTCTTCTCCCGCTAACTTGCTCTTCTGTTACCAGTGACATTCTCCATTTCATCCAGTGGCATCTGGCTAGACTCCTCTTGACCCGCAGATGATGCCAGACTTACTATCAGACCACGCTGACTGGGGCGGTGCTGTGGCGGGCTCCGGACAGCCCTTCTTCTTCTTGAATCTGCCGCTCTTCCTCTTCATCTGCCACCTTCCCCAATCTAGGCACCGCTCTGGTGAGTTCTCCTGCCCTTCTGCTTCTTCCAGCACTTAATCTTAATCTCTAGGAGCCAACCTTCTCCTTTACTGCCCCTGGCTTGCTCCAGGACTTGGTACATCAGAGTCTTCATGGTCAGACCCTGGTGCTAACAAGCTCCCCAGTATTATAGCTCACTGGAGCTCGTTGGCTGATTCTAGCCAACTGCAAAGTATTCTGTCACAGAGTGCCTTTATATAATAAGTCCATCTGTTTCAAAATATTCCAGAAGGTCTTGTGATTTTTCCGAATATTCCAATGGTCACATGACCTCCCTTTTTCCTGCCTTTTCACTGTGTGAATTTCCTTAAAGGGGCCCTAACCTATTTAATATATTACTGAGAATTAGTTTTTTTTTTTTACTTGGAAGAGGGGCAGCTGCATGCCCATGACATCGGGCTCACATGTTAGAGCCCTCATTTTTCATTCTTCCTATACCAGGTTTGGTCTCCAATGGCACTCTAGAGTGGTGAGCTTGTACATTGGTGGTGTGGCATCCTATGGTACCTGCTACTCAGAATTGTACTCTTTCTACATACTTTAAGTTTACTTTAAAATGTATAGCCAAAACATGTTTTGTTGGCTCACCAGGACAAATGGAGAAGAGAAATCTCTCACGGACACAGACAGGAATAAAATATTAACAGGGGTTCTGGTCCTTCCCTACTCTATCCTCAACAAAAAAAAAAGATTTTGCTATACCTGCCATATACTTTAACCCTTTTACTGACAGTGACATACTGTATGTCATATGTCAGCAGCATTTGGGGGACTTCACACACAACTACAATGTGTGTATACTGTATCTCTGTTGGCTTTTGGAAGTGGTGGAAGTGGTTCAGCAGCTTTACAACCTCTGAATGGCTTCCATGGAACCACTGAATAGGAAACCCCCACCATGAACCTTAGGTTCCACTCTATCACTTGTGGGCTTGAGACAAGCATAGTGGGTGTCACTGGGTGGAGGGGCAGTAGACACATATGTACATGCACAGGTCAGGGGTATGTGAAAATGCTGATTGCTCTACCTATGGTACACAGGCAGGGGTAGCACAGGCAGGGATAGCATAGGCAGGGATAGTATTGGCAACTATCATCTTGGATAAAGTATTAATCTTGGATTAATTATTGAGTATTGCACTTCGACTCTGCATCATTTTCATAACTCTTCTCTATCCCTTCACAAGTAATCTATGCTGCTTTCAAAATTCACCTCTAACTGAAGCTGATTAATTACTATCAATGTTCTCATTGGTAATCTCTGTTGCTTTCAAAATCCACATCTAATTGAAGCTGATTCATTACTATCAATGTTCTTATTGGTAATCTATGCTGCTTTCAGAATCTTTAGCTCTGTCCATTTTACTGTGATGTTTATTTTGCTCTTATTGTCTAACCAAATTTATGAGCTGATTCCAATCTTTACAACTTTGCCCTCCTGCTCTCTTGTTGTCTCTTGTAGTACTACTTTGGTGTGAGAAGTTTGTCCTGCTAGCCATGTGTTAATCCTATGCATTCCTGATTGATTAATTGGCAATACCCCCACCCAACTCAGTATAAATGTAGGCCTGCTTTAGGGGATGCACAGGCAGAGATAGCATTGGCAACTATCATCTTGGATAAAGTATTAATCTTGGATTAAGTATTGAGTATTGCACCTCGGCTCTGCACTTCAGTGAATGCACAAAGCAAGAATCCACAGCAGACAACTGCAAAACACTAAAAAAACTGCAGGTTACCAGTTTCCCCATCCAGCTTTTCCATCTCTTACCCAGTTTGCTTCTTAATGTCATCACTCTGTAACATGCACTCCCTATTTGTCCTTCTCAAAGTTGTATCCTCTCTCCTCAAACTCTCTTTCCTTCACCCCTCTTCTCCACCCCACAGCATATATATCACCCTCACTCCTGTCTTCACCTTATGACTGCACTCAACTCCTGCTAATTCTGAACCCACATACTAATAAAACCTCCAGGACACTGGGACATGTCCCTCCATATAAGTCTTACTTCCATATTACCTCTCTCACCCTTCTGCTTCTACTAACATCTGAAGGCATTTCCCCAAATCCTGGCCATCATCTTTTTTCTTTGACCAACACACCCGGCACCCCCTATCCTCTAACAACACCACAATCCATACAATCTGGTTTTTATACCACTTCTTTCTAGAACCAGCCTCCCATTTTCCTGTTCTCTGTCTGTAACAAACTCACCTCTGTCCATGACCTTTTTATCACAAACTATTTTAACCTACTTGCAATTACTGAAACCACGCTTCATGAATCTGACTTACCCTCTCCTGCTGCCCTCTCCCATGGTGGCCTCCTCTGGACTCTCTCAGGGAGGTGGATTTGGAATGCTCCTATCCTCTCAAAGCTCTTTTCAGGTCCTTCAGTCAGCTCCCTCTCTGTCCCTCTCCTCCTTTAAAGTTCACTGTATTCGCCTATTCACTCCAGTTTCTTTAAGAATTGCTGTTATCTATCGGCCTTCTGGGCTGGTATCGAGCTTTCTTGATGGCTTCTCTGCCGGGCTACCCTATTTTCTCTCTTCTGAAACTCCCACAATCATTCTCAGTGACTTCAACATCACTGTTAATTTTAACACTCCTGCTACTTATAAACTCCTGGTACCTCCTCTTTGATCTAAAACAATGGACACATGCTTCTACTCACTCTGATGGCAACTGTCTTGACCTTGTATTCTCCAACCTATGCACGCCTTGCAACCTCACCAACATTTCTTTTCTTCTCTCTGATCACTACCTCATTAGCTTCACTCTCTCCTTGTTTTCCTCCTCCTTGCCTTCCAACTACCCAACAGTTACAAGTAGAAACCTTCGCAATCTTTAACCCTTCTCTTTTTTTATCTGCAACAGATTGTGTCTATGACAAAACCTCAGCCCTGTCCTGCCCCAGCCTGGCCATTTTTGTCTACAACAGTTTACTGTCATCCACCCTGGACACACTGGCCCCCTCACTACACACAAAATCAGGCCCCGACCGCTACAACCCTGGCAAAAAGATAATGCCAGATACTTAAAAAAATGCAGCCACAGTCTTGAATGTCTGTGGCATAAGTTCCAGCAAGACTTCCACCAATATAAATCTGCCCTCCAAAAATACAATTTCTGCCTCCACACTGCCAAACATACCTATTTTTAACTCTAATTAACATCCTCTCACACAGTCCCTGTCAACTCTTTTCTACCTTTAATTCTCTACTTCATCTTTCATTACCTCCACCCACTAATTCATTCACTGCCCAGGAGATCACTAGTCACTTCAAAAATTAGAATGATACAATTTGTGATGAGATCTCCACTGTACAGATATCTCCCTCACCTTACACTCCTTGTCCACCTGCACAATCAATACTTCCCTTGTTTAACCCAGCTACTATAGAGGAAGTCACTATAGTTTTTTCTCATGCAGTCCCTATCAACTATTTTCTAACTTTAATTATCTACTTCATCCTTCATTACCTCCACCCACTAACTCACTCACTGCCCAGGAGATCGCTAGTCACTTCAAAAATAAGATTGATACAGTTAGTGATGAGATCTCCACTGTACAGATATCTCCCTCACCTTACACTCCTTGTCCACCTGCACAATCAATACTTTCCTTGTTTAACCCGGGTACTATAGAGGCAGTCACTAAACTTTTTTCTAATGCCCACCTAACCACCTGTCACCTGGACCCTGTTCCCTCGCAAATATTATGGTCATCTTCTGGCTCTATCCTACACACTTTAACTCCTATCTTCAATCTCTCCCTTTCTACTGGCATCTTCTCCAACCCTCTAAAACATGCACTAGTCACCCTCATACTTAAAAAGGCTGTACTGGACCCCACCAATCTTAACAACCTAAGACCAATCTCCTTAATGCCTTTTGCCTCCAAACTCCTTGAACATCTAGTTTACAACTGGCTGACCTACCACCTTATTGAGAATAACCTTCTTGATCCCCTTCAGTCTGGATGGCACCCACAACACTCTATAGAAATTGCTCTTCTAAAACTCATGAATGACTTACTAACAGGTAAAACAAATGGTCACTGTTTCATACTCTTATTCTTGGACCTCTCCACTGCCTTTGCTATAGTTGACCACCCCCTCCTCCTCAAAAAACTCTTTATTTTCTTGGAGTCCATGACTGTACTCTGCATTGGTTTGCATCTTACCTATCTCACTGCACCTTCAGTGTTACTTATAACTCTACTTCCTCCTCTCCTATTCCTCTTACTGTCGAGGTCTCCCAAGGTTCTGTCCTTGGACCTCTCCTATTCCCGATATACACCTCTTCCCTAGGTCAGCTGATAGCTTTCCATGGTTTCCAATACCATTTCTATGCTGATGACACACAAGTCTATCTCTCTACCCCTCAGCTCACCACATCAGTTTCCTCACAGATCACTGATTTACTAACAGAAATATCAGACTGGATTTCACACCACTTCCTTAAACTCAATCTGTCCAAAGCTGAGCTCATAATATTTCCTTCCTCATATGCCTCTTCCCCTGGTTTCTCTGTCAAGATCAATGGCACAACTATTAACCCATCCCTGCATGCTGGGGTGTTAGGGGTAACCCTGGATTCTGAACTGTCCTTTCAGGCCCATATCCAATCCATGTCCAAATCATGCTGCTTTAACTTCTGCAACATCTTCAGAATATGCCCCCTTTTGACGTATGACACCACAAAGCTTCTAACTCACTCCCTGATTATCTCTCACCTCAACTACTGCAACTCCCTCCTCTTCGGGTTACCTTTACACAAGCTGTCCATTCTTTAGTCCATCATGAATGCTGCTACCAGACTCATCGACTTACCAACCATTCAGTGTCTAGTACCCATCTCTGCCAATTCCATCACTGGCTTCCACTCACCCAACGAATACAATTCAAAGTACTAACAACAACTTACAAAGCCATCCTCATTTCTGCCCCCAGCTACTGTACACCACTAACCTGGTCTAAAAATATCAACCAAACCGCTCTCTTTGGTCTTCCCAAGACCTGCTGCTCTCTAGTTCCTATGTCACCTCCTCCTATGCTTCCCTTTAGGACGTCTCCTGAGCTTCTCTCATCCTATGTAATTCCCTATCCCAATCTGTCCGACTATCTCCTAATCTATCAACCTTTAGACAATTCCTGAAAACTCTTCTCTTTAAAGATGCCTATCCTGCTTCTAACTAATAAACTGCATGTTTACTTTCTCCATCAGCTCATCCCCCAAAGCTATTACCTTTTGTATCACTTGACCCCAGTGGTGGACTGACAACTCATGGGGCCCCCGGGCATTAGGGGATCATGGAGCCCCTGTGTCCTTGCCCAAACTCAAAAAAGCCTATTAAAAAGGTACCAGGGGCATCTCATGGGGCCCCCTACTGACCATGGGGCCTCGGGCAGTGCCCAAGTTTCCAAATAGTCAGTTCGCCCCTGCTTGACTCTCCCTCTTAGATTGTAAGCGCTAATGAGCAGGGCCCTCTGATTCCTCTTGTACTACATTGTTTTGTAACTGTATTGTTTGCCTTCATTTTGTAAAGCGCTGCACAAACTGTTGGTGCTATATAAATCCTGTATTATAATATTAATAATAATAATATAACTGCTTGCATCAGAGTGAGAGCAATATTTCTAGGACCGGTGTTCATAGTTAAGCGCCTAAACTCGACCTGTGAAAACTGTCTATGAAAAATAATGGGTTTTGAGGTTTGTTGCTTTTTTCACAGGCACACACACAGCTGTAAGGCTTTACATGTTTGATATCTATTTATTTGGCACAACTTAATTGTTTATGTCATAAAAAAATTAGTAATATATTGTGTTTCTGTGCAATAAAATAAGACATTTTTTACAGAAAATGTAAGCTCAATAAAACATTGCAGTAATATTGTGTGACATAAAAAATGGCGTTACCAACATTTTATTTTCCAAGGTCTCTTGTATCACTGGAGCATTACAAATACATGCATTATTTACATTTTTAAACATTACAGATCTTGTGAAGTATTTTCAAATTTAAATAACAATGATTCACATCATGTAAATGAACAGAAAATAGAAATCTACACATTACCTATTAAAAGTTATCTTAATCAGACAGATAGCGAATACTGTGGTATACAACAGAGCACTGCTTAGAAATTCTGGCAGCATGTCTAAAGAAACAAAGCATTTAATAGGAAATTTAAAAAGGTGTCTTGAGAAAATGCTACTGTGCATATTGTATATGAAAGTATAGTAAATGGTACTATAATTTTATTCATGTGCAATCATTCTGACATAGATAACGCATTTATTGGCTGCAAATAAAATACATTTAGGAACAGTTATGGGTCCGGAATAATGCATTTCACTTGTTTAAAATAGCACACTTCACATAAATGCAAGTTTTAAATCCCAGATAAACCATCTGCTCTTAGCCATAATAAAGTCAAGTTGCAAATACATTGAAAAATATCCTGCTTTGTGCTTATTTTTTTTAAGTTTAAGTGCAGCAGCTGGAGCCATTAGACTGCAGCCCCCACATGCAATGATGTAGCCTGGGGTCTCCAGCATTCTGATATTCTCATACAACTCCCCCCCATACACACTCACTACTCAAATTAACTGCACTGATCAGGGAGCAAACATGCTGTTAATTGGAGCAGTGTACAGGGCATGTCATAATTTTGGAGACTGAGTTATTGTCTGTGTGTGCAAGCAGAGGTCTCACTCTGCAATGTGCTGTCAGTACAGAATATTGTAACACTTGTTGCAGCACTTAGCAACTAAATAAAACCTAAAAGAGCAGCATATGTTTTACTGTATTAGTAGCATGACTGCATAACAGATATAAATACAGAGGGTTCAGCTGAGCTTTAGAAAAACTGAAACAAACACTAAAATATGTCTTAAATGTAATTGCAATACGAAAAACTCCCAATTCACATGAATCTTTATGATAGGTGTAATACCAATTATGCCTCTCATGTATGCACGTTCACCTTGATATATCCTTCAGGACAATTCCATTTGTTCAAATAACTGCTAATTGCCATGGTTACCCTTTATATAAAGCTGACCTTTGAACATTAGTGGTTGCACTCTAACCATATTGTCACTGCGAGTCATGGATTGTGTCATTCATAACAGTCTCAAGAGAATGCCTGAAAATGTCCTTTATGTTAAGCACACAACATAACACACAACTACATTTTGCATTCATGTTAAAATAATACATATATTTAATTAAAATGCATGAGTACATCATGGATATATATAT